AGTGATTATATGCTTATGACTCAGGAATCCTTGTGTCTCATAAATTAAATCTGAAGAAATTCTTTCTTATAACATGAGTCTTATAAGATTGCTTAAATTGACTATAAAATTGCCTTTGCATCTTGGCAAGACAGAGTCTATTCTTTTTTGGTTTAAGTTTCAACTTAACCTGGCCCTAGCCTCCAGGTCACATGTAATGGTACTGCTATAAAGTACACATCTTTTGTTAAGTATTTAGGTGCAAATCTGGATCAAATTCTTTTGGCGTCGCCCTTTGATGCTTTGCATCAATGCTTTTCTTGTATATTAAATGTAGCTGTTAAGCTATGGAAACATATGTTATTCTATTGAATTTATCATAATAGATCTACTGTAGCAAAATAGATCTACTGTAGACACTGGTTTTCAAAATCTATTTTTAACAAATAAACACCGATACAATGTACAACACTCTCCATAGCCTCTTTCTTACCTCCCAAAATATGCCACTGACATTGCCCTTGATACTTTTGAAATGTGATTATAATAGTATCTAATTTATGCGGCCACTGCTTTAATAGTAATTTTAGCTGGTGAACTTAGTTTGACGCGTAAATGTGACATACTTGTATTGTATATGGATGGTTTATACACATGATGTGCATGAATGAAAAATTTACATTCCATTAAGGTATCTAGGCAATGTTGTGGTATGATAGCAATAGGAGAGTCTTTTGTTGAGGAGTAAATTTATTTACAGTATACTTCTTACTGATTAATTTGGATTAATAAGACAATATAAGAAAACACATTTTCTGCACCGGCATCTACAGTGTGCGACGTACATGTAAATGAGAAAACCACCACGATTTTCACTGCTTTACTAAGAAAAAGGTTAGTTTGTTTTAATGACACTTTTAACACATTATTGATCCTATCTCTGGTCAACTTTACCGGCTTTTTCCCGGGATAAGTAACCGGTAATTACCAATTTCTCCTCAAGTGACGAACTACTAATTATCAGTACACATGATTTCAGAGACTCGATGTCCGAGATTAATTGTCGCGGAGAAATTTCTCCTCGCCAGAAGATCGATCTTGCGACACCGGGATCACAGGTAGTCGGTGCGTGGTTCTTTTAATTTCATCCATATATACTATAAATAAAGACAAGGTAGAAAGGTTCACCGGCGGAACTATCACCCGGCCTTATTTTAAGTATCAGATCTATGTTAATTTTCAACCAATTTTCACCCAAATCCAGTGCAATCGACTGAGATTAGAGAAATGATTTCTGTTCCTAAAAATTTACAATATTATACCAGTTTATAAAATACATAAAAGAACGAATTTTAAAGCAAAAGTGCACTTTTTGTCTAGGTTGGACATCTCTTGACCAGGCCAAAAGAAGACGATTTTGATCATAAATCGATCTCTTTCTTATGAAAACAGTGCATGCAAACAACTGGAAAAAAATTCTCGACATTTCATGTACAGAAATCATGTCCCAGATATACTTAATGCTTACCCCGTTCCGCATGGGAAAGATAAAATGATAGCTTTCTAATTTTAGAAACAGAGTATTTGCATTAAAAATACCCGGGTCAGACGAAATGTCGAGAAATTTAAGAAGTTAGTGCAAAATAACTGAAAGTTGCCCTATTAACCTATCGACGTTTTGGATTAAATTTGGACCGGTAAGCGAAAGTTGATAGCTGCCTTTCTTTATTTTAACTATGTATAGATGAAATTAAAAGAACCACACACCGACTGCCTGTGGCATGGGCTGCAAATAAGATGTTATTTCTATTCAGCTAAGATAATATTAGTTTGTGATGTTCCATTGGCAATGAATTTGTTTAAGAATGAGACTTTTTCCGGATTTTATCAGTTATCCAGCAGAAGAAAATATATAAAATTCGCCTTTGTTAACTTACGGTATGGTTTAATTACAGGGAGAGAGACACACACAACTTTATTAATGTAAAGCCATCATATACTCAGTAATTAAGGTTTACCAGCACTCCTAGACTGAATAAAGAATCAATGCTAGAATATATGTTTTTCTTTCTTTCTTTTGTTTTTTTAACTGAAACTGTCGTAAGTCCTTTATTTTATATACTTTACTGCAATTTTGCGGTCAACCTTCGTTATATTCATACTGAAATCTTCTCATTAACCTACTCATGAACATAATCGGTAACAAGTCTGGCGACTTGTTAGTAACTATGGTACAAAAAATGTTATATACTAAACTGTGAAAAAGATTTATTGCAATTATGTTTACAGGCGAATACAGTACTTTCAAGCTTTAGCGGCAAATCATATGTAATGCATTCGAAGTTGAGCTAACCTACTATGTCTACAGACTCCATTCCACCGTTGAACACGGTATATGTGGATAAATCCAACACAACACCGAAAGAGTACACTAGGCGATGTGGTTCACATATGTTATTTATTGTTTGCAGCCCTGTTCGTTCAGCAACAATTACCAATGGATTCATTTAAAATCATTGGGAATGTAATTAATAAAATATTACAACGAGAGTCTCCCGGAAGACTCTTTCCAACAAGAGACTGCGATAGACTGGTTATCAATGATTTACATGTTAGTTTACATTCCCCTGATATTTCCTGCAACGTGGCTGCTTGACAAGAAAGGCCTTAGAGTGAATATGATCTGCGGAGCGTTCCTGAACGCTTTAGGCGCTTGGATTAAATGCGCATGTGTATCATCTGACAGGTTTCCGGTCCTTATGTTTGCCCAGACGCTTTGTGCAATTGCGCAGATATTTATTCTAGGAATTCCGGCTCGTCTTGCAGCTGTCTGGTTTGGTCCAAACCAAGTGTCAACCGCAACTTCTATAGGTGTCTTTGGCAATCAGGTAAGCTAGTATGACCCTTTTTATCTCACTGCCTAAGAGTTAACTTACCAATCATGTTTATTCCCCGACACCGTTTAATTGTTCGCAAAGCAGTGCGTTTTGTTTAGTGACAAAAATAGCGGATGATATGTACACATCGAACTGGAGATTTTACCAGGGGTCATCGTCGGAACTCAAGGTAAATTACTTAGGATGACCGGGGATTTGATTCTTCAAAAACCAGAGTCCTAGATTTACACCGTGGGCAGGCGTGATGGTTCACTCACTACAATGAAATTTTGTCAAGGACATTAGTTTACAGATTATTCTTGTGGTCTCGTCTACTGTGTTACAAAGTTCAGAACAATTATGATTTTTTAATTTAAAGTTGATAAATCTTAAATGACAAATACATTGCTTGAAGCAGAATTGTTATAAAAATGCCTTTTCTTTTTAAGGTTGGGTGTGCAACAGGGTTTCTTATACCTCCGTTACTTGTTCGTAATAGCGAATCTTTATCTGAGATTGGTAAAGGACTTAGTACCATGTTTTACATGTCAGCTGGTGTTACTACCGCACTTTTCATTGTTATACTGATAGGTAAAGTTATCACGTTAATAATTATTTCTATTATAATTTTAATGATATCAATAGGCATTTTTATTATAATTGTATTTTAAGTGCAATATGCTACAATATATATATAACTCTTTTCTATTTGAAAGACTATGTTTTGGAGTAAATATTTTGAATATCTTCTCGGACACATTTTCTTTTTTAATTACTTGGCAACAAGGAAACCATGTACAACAACAACAAAATGGCTTAAAACGCCGCTGTGAGAAATGCCTGGAGCAGAAAAAATTGCACCATGTTTCGTCAGTCATCTTCAGATGACCATTTCCATTCACAAATGAAGGAATTTCAAAGACTTTTTGTGTTTGGTATGCTATTACAACAGAGTTAATTGAATTAACTTTTAATGACCGAGCTGATTTTTTCCTGGACGTTTCTTTTATCTAAAACAGCAGAATGTTATTAAAATGTAAATGCGATAAATGAAAATGTAAAATCCTATACTTCACACAATCCATTTATAATTTTTAATGTAAGCAGGTCGGACTGACTGGTAGTCTGTTTCCCGTCGTACTATAGAATTTAGAGAAAATGGCAGGTAATCAAGACTAGCTGACTGCTTGCTTATTTTTACTGGGCATTTTGTATTTCAGTGTTTAAAGCGAAACCCCCGACTCCCCCTAGTCATGCTCAGATGCTCATAGAGCAAGGAGATAGCCAGGAAAACTATTTTACCTCACTCAGGAATCTGTTCCATAACTCGAATTTTATTTTATTGTTCCTAACGTATGGTAAGCTTTTTTTTTTGAATCATGAAAAGATTTTAATAAAGTATATGTTTGTTGTGTATTTTTTAAAATCAGAGTTATGTTACGTAATACGTATTGTATGTATATATGCAATTCAAAATTTCATTTTCCTTTCTTTACTTTAAGTATGAAAAAAAACAACAACCATATGGTAAACTTTTTAGTTATTTTTATTTACATGACTATATAAAATAATTACAGGTATAAATACCGGAAGTTACTACGGCATCGGGACGCTCCTCAACCCCGTCATACTCCACTATTTCCCGGTAAGTGCAAGTTTCCTTTCTTTTAGCGTTCCGGCAGAATAAATTGGGGGGGGGGGTCTGTAACCTTTGAAATTGAGATCATTTGAACATTGTCCAGCGTTTTGACGGAATAATTTAGGGGTCTGTCACCTATAAAATTGATATCAGATGAAACACTGTCGAACAAGTTTTTTTATATAACTGCTCAATTGCAGCAACGAACGAGTATGATATACTAAAGATGATTACTTTGAAACTTTTACAGGTTTGATGATGCTTTATGGCAAGAGTTATTGTTCCTGTTTTTTTTCCACCATCATGACAATGCCATTTTGTTTGTTTTCAATTCATTAACAATTGACATTACGCCGCCTGCCAATCAAGCTGGTAGGGGTCTAACAGATAAGCCAAATCTAAATATTTCTATTAAAGCTCAATGAATAAAGATTAAATATTAGAATACATCTGCCTCAATAACATCATATCTGATCACGGTTTTAATTTAAAGCCGAGGTCTGGTATATTCGAAACTTAAAGTCAATAATATTGCGTTTTATCACGAAAATATCTAATGTACAAATATACATATAATAATATATCATACAACAAAGTTAAGCAAGGGCAATTTTCTCATTCAATTTTGACAATTAATGCACAAATGCATTACATATAAGTGATTTCGCACATAAAACCCTAAAAACATTTGTAAATGTTACTGTTTCATTGATATAATTTTACTATTATATGTTCCGCTACATCAATTTTAACTATCTTCGAATTGATAATCTAAAATGATATTTTGTCAGTAACATCTTCCTTGAAGTCGGCGAGAAATATAACAAGATCTTTGCCAAACGTTTTATTCATCATTACACCCATGCTCACTTAAGTACAACATTTCATAAATTCTAGAACTGAAAAATGAACTTTCTTGAATATTAAAATTCTATTCCATTCCAAAATTATAAGTATCTCGACATCTTAAATATAAAATATTACCAGTACAGATGTCCTAGATTTTTCCTTATGACAGGTTTTCTAGATAGACCCAGAAAATAAATTTCGCCATTTTCGAGACATTGGTCCTTTTTGTGCATATGGTTTGGCAATTTGATATGTCTCTTAAAATAAACTTTCTATCATCTATTTTATATGAACATCTCGAAATGAGAATCAATCATTGAACTGACAAAAATACATCTTTTTAAAAACAACTCATGGAAATGCATTTCATATCGAATATGCTTAAATCTCATTTTCAAAATAAATAACCTTACAAAATCCACAGATCCATACAATGGACGAGTAAGAAAATGTGAAAATTACTGACGAATTCTTGAAAGTACCTACTTATTTATTATTCAATTGTCAAAATAATTTACGTCATCTCATATATTGGACAAATTTTTTAACAACGGGGGAGCGGAAATTGCTTCCCACGAAAAGAATTTCCCCCTCCCAATGGAAGTTTCTTTAGTGATTGAAAAGCATTGTCAAGGAAGTTCTTCTTGTGAGTTGATAACTGTCCGGAGTTCGCCGTCGGAAAAAACCTATGTTCTAAATACTGCCAAAAAAACACTCGCGTTCAATTCCAAAGCCCACAGAAAGGCGCTGAATTTGTTTGGGTCTTCGGAATAAAAGTAAGGAAAGGTTACAGGTTGTGAGATTTATATTGTATAGGGCCACCAATGCTTTCCAGCGTTTTTAATGGTAGTAAATTGGCTATAAGACTAATATGCAACACTGATATTCAATCCAATGTTTTATTTGACTTAAACAATTTGAAAAAAAATGAGTTGCCTTTACTGGGATTTGAACTCCAGACCTCTCGCTTTCCTAAAGCAAGCGCAAAAACCCTCAGCCACGGTTTGAATTTATATGGTAAACGAGCCTGAAGAAAACCATATTATTCTAAATTAGCTTGTAACGACTTGAAATGTTGTTTAACACATATGTAAATAATCCTGGAGCTTACTATAAGCATGTATATTTATTAAAGAATCAAGAGGCTGCAATTCTGTGGTGTTTTTCTGATCTTTGCAATCTAAATCGTACTGTATATCCTGTATGTATTTTCCTGTATAAGTTTATTTTTAGCTCGACTATTCGATAAGAATAAGTAGAGCTATTGCAGTCACCCGAGCGTCGGCGTCGGCGTCGGCGTAACCACTTATGTTAAAGTTTTTGTAATAGTTCAAATATTTTCAAAGTCCATTGACATATGGCTTTGAAACTTTGCACACTTGTTCACCATCATGACCCCAACCTGTAGACAGGAAGAGGTAACTCTATCAAGCATTTTGACAGAATTATGCCCCTTTTTCGACTTAGAATTTAAGTTAAAGTTTTTGTAATAGTTCAAATATTTTCAAAGTCCATTGACATATGGCTTTGAAACTTTGCGCACTTGTTCACCATCATGACCCCAACCTGTAGACAGGAGAAGGTAACTCTATCAAGTATTTTGACAGAATTATGCCCCTTTTTCGACTTAGAATTTACGTTAAAGTTTTTGTAATAGTTCAAATATTTTCAAAGTCCATTGACATATGGCTTTGAAACTTTGCACACTTGTTCACCATCATGACCCCAACCTGTAGACAGGAGGAGGTAACTCTATCAAGCATTTTGACAGAATTATGCCCCTTTTTCGACTTAGAATTTACGTTACAGTTTTTGTAATAGTTCAAATATTTTCAAAGTCCATAGACATATGGCTTTGAAACTTTGCACACTTGTTCAACATCATGACCCCAACCTGTAGACAGCAGGAGGTAACTCTATTAAGCATTTTGACAGAATTATGCCCCCTTTTTCGACTTAGAATTTACGTTAAAGTTTTTGTAATAGTTTCAAATATTTTCAAAGTCCATTGACATATGGCTTTGAAACTTTGCACACTTGTTCAACATCATGACCCCAACCTGTAAACAGGAGGAGGTAACTCTATCAAGCATTTTGACAGAATTATGCCCCTTTTTCGACTTAGAATTTACGTTAAAGTTTTTGTAATAGTTCAAATATTTTCAAAGTCCATTGACATATGGCTTTGAAACTTTGCACACTTGTTCACCATCATGACCCCAACCTGTAAACAGGAGGAGGTAACTGTATCAGGCATTTTTTTTACTATCAAGCACTAAGAATAGTCGAGCATGCTGTCCTACCGACAGCTCTTGTATGTATTATAATTCATTTTGCAAGGCACCAGAGTTTGATACATACGGAATTGTGCATAACTAGAGTTGCATCAAAAAATCATTTATGTTCATTTTTAGCTCGACTATTCTGATAAGAATAAGTTAGAAGCTATTGCAGTTCACCCGAGCGTCGGCGTCGGCGTCGGCGTAACCACTTTATGTTAAAGTTTTTGGAATAGTTCAAATATTTTCAAAGTCCATAGGACATATGGCTTTGAAACTTTGCACACATTGTTCACCATCATGACCCCAACCCTGTAGACAGGAGGTGGTAACTCTTATCAAGCATTTTGACAGAATTATGCCCCTTTTAGCTCGACTATTCGATAAGAATAAGTAGAGCTATTGCAGTCACCCGAGCGTTCGGCGTCGGCGTCGGCGTAACCACTTATGGTTAAAGTTTTTGTAATAGTTCAAATATTTTCAAAGTCCATTGACATATGGCTTTTCAAAGTCCATAGACAATATGGCTTTGAAACTTTGCACACTTGTTCACCATCATGACCCCAACCTGTAAACAGGAGGAGGTAACTGTATCAGGCATTTTTTTAACTATTCAAGCACTAAGAATGTCGAGCATGCTGTCCTACCGACAGCTCTTGTTCGACTTAGAATTTACGTTAAAGTTTTTGTAATAGTTCAAATATTTTCAAAGTCCATTGACATATGGCTTTAAAACTTTGCACACTTGTTCACCATCATGACCCCAACCTGTAGACAGAGGAGGTAACTGTATCAAGCATTTTGACAGAATTATGCCCCTTTTTTGACTTAGAATTTACGTTAAAGTTTTTGTAATAGTTCAAATATTTTCAAAGTCCATTGACATATGGCTTTTAAACTTTGCACACTTGTTCACATCATGACCCCAACCTGTAAACAGGAGGAGGTAACTCTATCAAGCATTTTGACAGAATTATGCCCCTTTTTAGCTCGACTATCTCAGATAAGAATAAGTAGAGCTATTGCAGTCACCCGAGCGTCGGCGTCGGCGTCGGCGTCGGCGTAACCACTTATGTTAAAGTTTTTGTAATAGTTCAAATATTTTCAAAGTCCATAGACATATGGCTTTGAAACTTTGCACACTTGTTCACCATCATGACCCCAACCTGTAGACAGGAGGAGGTAACTCTATCAAGCATTTTGACAGAATTATGCCCCTTTTTCGACTTAGAATTTACGTTAAAGTTTTTGTAATAGTTCAAATATTTTCAAAGTCCATTGACATATGGCTTTGAAACTTTGCACACTTGTTCACCATCATGACCCCAACCTGTAACAGGTGGAGGTAACTCTATCAAGCATTTTGACAGAATTATGCCCCTTTTTCGACTTAGAATTTACGTTAAAGTTTTTGTAATAGTTAAAATATTTTCAAAGTCCATTGACATATGGCTTTAAACTTTGCACACTTGTTCACCATCATGACCCCAACCTGTAAACAGGAGGAGGTAACTCTATCAAGCATTTTGACAGAATTATGCCCCTTTTTTCGACTTAGAATTTACGTTAAAGTTTTTGTAATAGTTCAAATATTTTCAAAGTCCATTGACATATGGCTTTGAAACTTTGCACACTTGTTCACCATCATGACCCCAACCTGTAAACAGGAGGAGGTAACTGTATCAAGCATTTTGACAGAATTATGCCCCTTTTTCGACTTAGAATTTACATTAAAGTTTTTGTAACACCTCAAATATTTTCAAAGTCCATTGACATATGGCTTTGAAACTTTGCACACTGGTTCACCATCGTGACCCCAACCTGTAAACAGGAGGAGGTAACTCTATCAAGCATTTTTTTACTATCAAGCACTAAGAATAGTCGAGCGTTGCTGTCTACCGACAGCTCTTTTTCGACTTAGAATTTACGTTAAAGTTTTTGTAATAGTTCAAATATTTTCAAAGTCCATTGACATATGGCTTTGAAACTTTGCACACTTGTTCACCATCATGACCCCAACCTGTAAACAGGAGGAGGTAACTGTATCAAGCATTTTGACAGAATTATGCCCCTTTTTCGACTTAGAATTTACGTTAAAGTTTTTGTAATAGTTCAAATATTTTCAAAGTCCATTGACATATGGCTTTGAAACTTTGCACACTTGTTCACCATCATGACCCCAACCTGGAAACAGGTGGAGGTAACTCTATCAAGCATTTTGACAGAATTATGCCCCTTTTTCGACTTAGAATTTACGTTAAAGTTTTTGTAATCGTTCAAATATTATCAAAGTCCATTGACATATGGCTTTTAAACTTTGCACACTTGTTCACCATCATGACCCCAACCTGTAAACAGGAGGAGGTAACTCTATCAAGCATTTTGACAGAATTATGCCCCTTTTTTCGACTTAGAATTTACGTTAAAGTTTTTGTAATAGTTCAAATATTTTCAAAGTCCATTGACATATGGCTTTGAAACTTGGCACACTTGTTCATCATCATGACCCCAACCTGTAGACAGGAGGAGATAACTGTATCAAGCATTTTAACAGAATTATGCCCCTTTTTCGACTTAGAATTTACGTTAAAGTTTTTGTAATAGTTCAAATATTTTCAAAGTCCATTGACATTTGGCTTTGAAACTTTGCACACTTGTTCACCATCATGACCCCATACTGTAAACAGGAGGAGGTAACTCTATCAAGATTTTTTTTTACTATCAAGCACTAAGAATAGTTGAGCGTTGCTGTCCTACCGACAGCTCTTGTTGGACTTAGAATTTACGTTAAAGTTTTTGTAATAGTTCAAATATTTTCAAAGTCCATTGACATATGGCTTTGAAACTTTGCACACTTGTTCACCATCATGACCCCAACCTGTAAACAGGAGGAGGTAACTGTATCAAGCATTTTGACAGAATTATGCCCCTTTTTCGACTTAGAATTTACGTTAAAGTTTTTGTAATAGTTTCAAATATTTTCAAAGTCCATTAACATATGGCTTTGAAACTTTGCACACTTGTTCAACATCATGACCCCAACCTGTAAACAGGAGGAGGTAACTCTATCAAGCATTTTGACAGAATTATGCCCCTTTTTCGACTTAGAATTTACGTTAAAGTTTTTGTAATAGTTCAAATATTTTCAAAGTCCATTGACATATGGCTTTGAAAACTTTGCACACTTGTTCACCATCATGACCCCAACCTGTAAACAGGAGGAGGTAACTGTATCAAGCATTTTTTTTTACTATCAAGCACTAAGAATAGTCGAGCGTTGCTGTCCTACCGACAGCTCTTGTATATGACAGACACACTTTATACCTTGCATATCATGGCTACTTCCTTAACAAAGACACTTAAAAAAAAGAATTTAAAAAAAAGTTTCCTTTCGACTGGGGTTTGAAACTCCAGACCTCTGACACCACTAAGCGAGCGCGTTACCCCTGCACCACGGAGGAGTATTCCATGTCTGATAACATCAAGTCATTCTAAAGTTTAAAACTTCCATTTGCATTTCGGGTTTGTAATCCTTATTAATTTCGAGGTATTTTGTTCAGGATAAACCTGTTGTTTTAAAATTGAAGTAAATAATTTAGCGAAAATCTTCTGTCCTACATGGTAGAATCTATATATTCCACTACTCGGTTTGTGTAGTATTCGGTAATCGACATCGCTAAAAATAGTATTTTCATTGATAAAATCATATTCATCCGCGTAATTTGTGATTGTGCATTTATTGACAATTCTATAAGCCAACGCTATTTTTAAACTTTGAATACGTTGTAATTTGTTGAGCATATAGTCGGCGCCTTGTCCGTCTGTCCGTCTGTCTGTCCGTCCGTCTTGTCCGTCTGTCCGTCCGTTGTCTTGTCCGGAGCATAACTTGAAAACCCTTGGAGATAATTTGTTCAAACTTCATACAGTGGTAGAGGGCATTGAGGGGGAGTGCAGTGTCAAAGAACCATAACTCTATTTTGCCCGGTTTTTGAATTATCTCCCCTTATAGAAAAATCTTGTCCGGGACATAACTCTAAAACTATAAGAGATATCAACTTGAAACTTTGTAGGTGAATAGATCTCAATGGGTAGATGTGCAGTGCATAGGAACAATAACTCTTTTTGTCCTAATTTTGGAGTTATTGCCCTTTGTTTATTTTAACACTTTGAACTTTGTCCGGGACATAACTCTAAAACTATAAGAGATATCAAGATGAAACATAGTAGGTAGATAGATCTTATTGAGTAGAAGTGCAGTGCAAAAGAACCATAACTCTGTTAAGCCTCATTTTTGAATTATCTCCCCTTTTAGAAAAATCTTGTCCAGGACATAGCTGTAAATGTATAAGAGATATCAACATGAAACTTTGTAGGTCGATATATCTCATTGGTAGATGTGCAGTGCACAAGAATCATAACTCTGCTTTGCCTAAATCTGGAGTTATTGCCCTTTGTTTATTTTTACTTTTTGAAGTTGTTCGAGACATAACTCGGAAACCATAAGAGATATCAACAAGAAACTTTGTAGGTTGATAGATCACATTGATTAGAAGTGCAGTGCAAAGAACAGTAACTCTGCCTTGCCTAATTTTGGAATTATTGCACTTTGAACTTTTTCCAGGGACATAACTCTGAAACTACAAGAGGTGTACTTACCTGTGTCCAAAACCTATTCGGGGAGCAAGCATCACCCGGTTCAAACCGGGCTGTTGTTTTTCAATCCACAGGCAAAAAAAAACCCTATTGAAAGTTACAAAATAAAAATATTGAATAAAAAATCTAAAATCTTTGCAAATAAGTGCTTCTTCACTGTAATAGTGCTTAAATGTTTGAAGATGCCATCATTGCATCCATTTAATCACTGCAAAATTTCAGTAATGCATTTTTCCCAATTTTTAACAAAACACTGCTGAAATTCCTAATTCCATGGGTATGGGTCATGTTTCCAAAATTCTGGAAAAAATCCCTGACTTAATAAAAGATTTTTTGTTTTCAAATTGGGCACATGTAGCCAAAAAAAAAAAAATTGACCTAGAGACAATTCGGTTAAGTGTGGGGGCACCCGTGTCCTATGGACACTTTTCTAGTTTATATTTATTAACTGTGCACATTGTATGAACCAGGTATATTAACATATAATGAACATGCACCAGAAACCGTACTAATCCGGGAGGTAGCAGTGCAAATGAATCAAGTTTAGGCTATACCTTCCGTTTGTCCGAGCACTGTCGATTCAATGCAAACGATGCTTTGGGCAGCCAAAATAGTGGGTATATATGTCTATTGCGGTGGGTGTTTGGGAGGGCGGTCGTTTTGCGGGGAATTTACCATTTCACACTGTCCCTGAAGGAAGGGGCTTTTACCGGCGGTGTCCTGGAGGGGTCGGCTTGAGTTATACATTTGTAATTGACATGTACGTTGTATGTTTCAGGGACATGAAGAGAACGCTGGTCAGATAGGGCTAGATCTTGTACTAGCTGGTATCGTCGGTGCTATTGTTGCTGGAATTTGGTTGGACAAAACTAAATCATTCAAGTAAGTGTTTCATGTAGTCATCCATTGTAAGGTTTCATATGCCTAAGTCACGGACGTAAAAAGAAAAACAATAATTTAGGATGGACGATTACTGCAGTTAGACTTGAACAATACGTTTTTGTCCAAACAGCAATTTAATTTTTGAAGTTAGTTATTATTGTTCCTCGTTCAGTAATTTGCAAAAGCCACGCATTATAACTTTTGAATATTTCGATTGAATGAAACAAGTATTTTTTGAGCGTACATAACCGAAAGTTGTTTATTCATATGAAATACATGTAGATTACAAACGAATGGAACTTAATGAAATGTTCTTAAGGTAATGACTTTTTCTGATTTCAGACCAACTACTGTAGGGATTTATTTCTTATCAATGATATGTATGATTGTATTTACGTTTACAATGGATGTAGATCTGATCTGGGTTGTGTTTATCACTGCGGGGGCTTTAGGGTAAGTAACATCAACTTATCTGTGAGTGTTGGCCACAATAATGTGGCAAGTTTTGCGTGATGGCCACGATAATGGGGACAGGTTAATGAGTGATGGCCATGATAATTGGGCAAATTTATGAGTGATGGCCACGGTAATTGGGTCAGGTTTATGAGTGATGGCCACGATAATAGGGACAAGTTTATGAGTGATAGCCACGATAATGGGGCAATTTAATTAATGATGGCCACGATAATGGGACAAGTTAATGAGTGATGGTCACAATTATGGGGCAAGTTTAGAAGTGATAGCCACGTTAATGGGGCAAGTTAATGAGTGATGGCCACAATTATGGGGCAAGTTTATGAGTGATGGCCTCGATGATAGGGGCAAAGTTAGGAGTGATGGCCACGATCATCGGGCCAAGTTTATGAGTGATGGCCTCGATAATAGGGGCAAGTTTATGAGTGATGGTCACGATCATCGGGCCATGTTATATGCTGCCTGGTGAATTTTAGTGTTTTATTTTGATTTTAAATACCTCATTTATCATATATTACGATAAACAGTTCGTAATTTGAACATGTTGAAGCATTCAAAGTCCCATTTCTCAATTTCAAATTCAGTGAAGATTTGTAATAGACAAAAAAGAATATAAAAGGGAAGAAAAAAATCCATCGCTAGGATTTTGTTCATTTCTCTGTAGGGATAGCATACATCAATCATTTTGTTGTCAAAATATTTTCACTAAGCTGACACTTATTATCCTCCGTACTCAAAGTGACAGCGCGTTCCTGTCGAACATTGGCGCATTTTTACGATGTTTCCAATTACATCGTCTGTATATGTGTAAACTCTTCTGCAGAACAAGATTTCTTTTGAAAATTATCTGTTTCAAATTGAGGAAAATACGTGTATGTAGCCGAAACAATCGATCTTAAGTTGCTGCTGGTTGTCTAAATTGTCGTCTGCTTATTTAATTAGTTGGTTGTGAGTGGTTTCCCTTGAAGCATTCATTGTATATATGAAAGTATACTTCAAGTAAGCTAATTTGGTATCGATTAAAAAAAGAAGAATATTTGATTGTCAATAGTGTTGAGTTTAACATCAGTTAATGAGTTACTAGTATTTGTCGGTGAGCAGATACCTTATGCGCGTTCTTTGATACATCCAATTATCTCTTTGTTTGTACTAGTATAAAAACAGAATTCAATGAAAATCACCTTGGTTAAATCTGTTAAGAGATTATTATATATAGAAATAATTCAAACTAGTAGCCAACGTGTCTGACTGCCAAGGTAATGGTACGGGGATTTGATTCCCTCGATATTTATAAAGAAAACTTAGCAAAGTCTTGTTTTGGTTACAGACCACCCTCAAATAGAGACCACCTTGTAAATAAAGACCACTGTTTCACAAACCTTGATTTATAAAATTACAACAGAGTAATCTCTGAATAAAGACTACCTATCTATAACGGCCATGTATGGTCTCTTCTTTGGGTGGCCTTTATTCACAGGTTTTACTGTAAATATTCCTCTAGATTCTTGTGAGTCTAATAGGACCATCATGGCCCTTTTATAATTTGAAATATACTTTGTTGCATCAATTTATTCAAACTTATCAGCTTTTTGTTGTCATTATTCTAATATAGTTAATGAATACTGGTATTGTTTCTTTTCCAGGTTTTTTATGACAGGCTACCTACCGGTTGGGTTCGAATTTGCGGCTGAAATCACGTATCCGGAATCTGAGGGTACATCGTCCGGTCTTTTAAATGCATCTGCCCAGGTGATGATTTTACGAAAGTGTTAAATATCTGAGCCGTGTCACGACAAAACCAACATGATGGGTTTGCGACCAGCAGGGATCCAGACCAGCCTGCGCATCCACGCAGTCTGCTCAGGATCCATGCTGTTCGCTTACAAACACTATTACAAGTAGAGAAACTGATAGCGAACAGCATGGATCCTGATCAGACTGCGCGGATGCTGGTCGCAAACCCATTATGTTGGTTTTGTCGTGACGCGGCTCATCTGTTTTACACATTTAGCAAACAACCACATTCATTAAAGTGACAGTATGCTCATGTTTTCATTGTCAAGTTGAGCTGAAATGACTATATATTTCAAAAGACTGGCTATTGACTTGAAAATGTTAAGGATAAGATATATATTATTTGCCTAAAATATAAAAAAGACTGCCCCAGTCTATTATAAAATATATGTTACAGGTTATTTCCGGTGGATATTTACAGTTAAATAAGTTTTCTTATCGTTCATGCGAAGAATATTAGAAAATTGACAGGAAATATGGCAAAATAATGACTATTTTAACTTTCACTTGTTCAAAAACTATACTCCCTTGGATGGGCATAATGTCACATTAATTGTCATACTTTTGAACTATTGTACCATAGCGTTAAATCTTAAATTATTTTAATTTTAATACATTACACATGAAGTAGTTATCTACTGATCATGAGTCATTTGTGAAAACTATTAAAAACTAACGATATTGGTTATATGAAAAGTAAACCCAGACATGGAAGCACATTTCAAGAATAAATAGCATTGTCTACCAGTTTCCGAGGAATTGCAGACATCCGATAATTTACATACATTTTTTATTCATTTATAAATTTTGTGAAATTGCCATAAGTCTCACCAAAGTGAAATTTATACTATTTTTTTTAGAATTAGGAGTCATTCTTTGTAATTTTACGACAATATATAAATATATAGTTAATGTGCGCTTGCAATGAATAAAAGATTTGTTCTATGTATTTCAGACGTTTGGTATTATTGTCACCATTGGGATGCGTGCATTGATGAACCAAGTGAGCGTTTTGTCAGCAAATATTACCGTATCAGGGATTCTTCTAGTTGGAACAATAATGACAGGTTAGATATGTATAATTATACGTACATGTACACAAAAATATCTACGCACGTGCACAATGTGGCGATCTTGTAAAGAAATAATCCGCAAATGCATCGTGTAAACCATTTGTGTATCCATTCGGACAACGTTTTATCAAATGAGAAATGATCATAAAAAACCAGGTTAAACCCCTTAATTTCTCCTATGTTATTAAAAAGTTCCACAAGCCTGTTTAAGAAAATGTTAGTAATGAGCCAAAAGTTCTATGATAACGTCATGAATGATGATGTTATGAAAATACATTTGCTACATTTCGTGGGTTTTTCCTGGTCTTATTTTGTCGAGACAATTGATTAATATACAAAATCGTTATAAGTACTGTACAACATTGTAGTATGTTAATCCGTATTTCTATACTGCTTTTGATATGTGTGACACTTTACAGCTGTCATTTATTGCATTTTTTTCAGCATTTATCAAAGCTGATTATAGACGCCAGGAGGCCGGTAAAAGTGTAAGTTGTTCCTTTTTTCCTACGTAATTCATATTATTATATATTTTCCCATAATGTTCAAATACAATGGCCATTTACGTTGAAGGCCCTATTCCCAAGAAATGCTTTAATTTTCATTTCGCAAATGATTTTTATTTTTGGTGTACTTTTTGTTTCTAAAATGTTACACATCGGCCAGTTACCTGAACCATCATTTTTCTTCTGTTGCTTTTTGGCAATAAGAACAGTTTTAATGATAAAGTATTAAATTATTTTGTATTGAAGTCAAAATATTACTTTGGTTACATTTTGCTACTTTTATAATTTTACATTACGCGCTACTTTCTTCAGGTAATAAACATCTAGCATGCTCTTAAACCATTATTGAAACCTTAAGAATTCAATGCTTGTCCTTTCTAAACAATAATTTTCAAAAATAAATAATCGAACATTTTCTTCTCGAAACAATAACTCACCATATGCAAGATACTCTGTATTCCGGAGACTGGAAGAAAATGCCTCCGGAGACCGGAAGAAAATACCTTATTACGCTAATTTCATATTACTGTAATTTCAGGCTGTGGAATATGTGGACCATGACAATATAAATGTGAATATAACTGATGAAAATACAGGATTGAAGATGGCAAACATGAAAAAATGATGAACCAGTTGTGTTAGCTTCAGTCAACTGTACGAGATCTATTTCCATAATCATTTGTTAGCCGGTTTCAGTTATTTTTTTATTTTCGTTATTAGATATTACATGTACCTCGTTACCTCGCTTAGTTACTTTTCTTTCCGTTTCATTTTTCAAATTAAAGCCAGGTGTTGTAACCTTTACTATTTTCATTATTAGTTGTTTCCCAGCTTATGTTACTTTTATTGTTTCTATGATCAGATCTTAGTTTGTTTTACTGACATTAGTTTTCACCATCATTTACGGTATTACAGCGCTTTAGTTACTTTTTTTGTATCAGATGTTAGTCTAATTTAGTTACTTAAATTAATTCCTTAATAGTCTGCTTTAGTTACTTTTACTGTTTTCGTGATTTGATATTACCGCGCTTTAGTTACTTTGTCTTTAGTTACTTTTGTCGTTGTTTGTCTGATTTAGTTACTTTCTATTAATTTCGTTATTAGATGTTATAGACTGTTTTAGTTATGTTAAGAGTTTTCATGATCTGATATTTCTCATCTTTACTTACAATTATTGTTGAAACCACTCTTAAATTTATTTTTACTGTTTTAGTGATGTAATAATTCCCCGCTTTAGTTACTTTATTTTCGTGATAGCGTGGTTTAGTTACTTTTGTCAAGTTACACAGAAGAGGTCATATGGCGACTTTTCAGGTTCCCCGTTTGGGTAAGACCTCAGGTGCCCTTCCGTGCCTTATTTCAGACTCGAATCGACACCTGAGTAGAACCACCGACGTTTCGTAAGCTTGCTGGATAGCTTCGTCACATGAAATAATCTGACGTCTGTTGCGGGATTCGGAATTACAGCGGTGAGGAGCAAGTGTTAGAAGTCAACGACCTTAACCACTCGGCTACGGATGCCCCTATAAGTTTTTTTATAAGTAAGGAAGTAATATGATCTAGAAATAAACAAGCATGCTTTATCACACGTTCATAGTTTGTTTTATTTTGTAACACACATAGATATAGTATTTTCTCTACCACATATTGGGACTTGGGAAGTATCTGCAGCATTCGTATGTCAATATTTTAAACACCGGTATAGATATATTGGAGTGTTGTTCAGAAAGCTCGTAAAAGTTTTCTGCATCTCTTGTTTAAATAATTTGAATAATTATTTTTATTCATTTGCTATATTTAGCCTAGTAAGTCCTTTCACGACCTCTTGATTTTTTCCCCCAAAAATTACCGATACAAACAATTATAAGTTAGTGGATATACACGTAACAGAAGCGATCCCTGCTGAAACCTTGCACAGATGTCATTTGTCATTACCTTTCATATTGTCAGATTTGGCTGTATACTTCCAAGTTATCATATTGAAAAGAACAACAATATAATTTATATAGATATAATCTTGGGAAAGGCAATTTAAAGGATACATACATAAATTTATAAGTAAATACTATAAAATTGTCAAAATATAGTTAAAATACTTTAAAATATAATCTAACATAAAAAAGAACGGATTATGGACTGCACATGTCTTTAAACATTGCATACTTTGATTTATAACAGTTCAAATTAACTTCTGCTGATGATCACGTATGCGCAATGCGCTTATTGCGCATGTTGTTGTGACGTATAAATTAGAGACCCATTGCGTCGAGTTCCCTCTGCATCTGGCAGATAGCACACAGTCCACAGAACGACATTGTCATACAATCGGTGCAAATTGATCCCTGAAAAATATTAACTTACTTTTTAGTTTTTCTTAAAATTGGAACGGTACTATTTAAGTTCGCGGTAGAATAGGAAAGGTAATCCTGTACGTTGAGGAAGTGTTACGATGCTCTCCCCTTGGTGATCATTACGGTTTGTTAGACATGTGTAATTTCATCATGATGGTCAATTCTATATGTGTGCCCAAACCTTACCAATCGGGTTTGACCATGTTTTTTGTTGTTTTTGTTTTTTAAATATTTATTCAAGTTTTATTGGGATATTTAGTCAATTAAATTCATTTAACATTTGTATGCGGATAATAAAACCGAAAATGCACCACATGTACATAATATTTGACGACAATTGCCCAAATCATCTGAAGACGAATAATTTAAGTTTAAGCTGAAATTGTTAAATTGTATATATAACCATATAATAAAATAAACTGTATGTCATGATAGTTTTCAATCAAAATAGAATTTGTATCTTACCTGGATACCACCAAGTGTTCGGATTCGGGCCCTCAGGGCAACCAAGGCACCTGGTACGAACCATGGCATGCAGCTACATTCCCCAACGCGGTTAGAAATGTTGCAGATAGCGCATGGTAGGCAACAGTATGTCAGAAGTACTGAAATAAATAAAAACAAACGAAAAGTTCCCAGCCAATCTGACTAAAGTTCAAATCTTACAAGGACACCGGTCGTGTCGTCTGCATAAAATAAATAAAACGTAGGAAATGCCGTTTACATTTTATCTAATAATTATCACAGTATTGGAGGGAAGTGTATTCAGAAAGGAAAAACTTATGTTTACATGTTATAAATAAGAAGTTATATTATGTTTACATAAGAAGATCTTAAGTTTAGTCAGATTGAGTTGCTCGCATTTATGAATTAATATACGAGAAAATCTGTGTGCAACAATATGTATTAGAAATATACAGATACACTGTATATAAAATTTGAAACCTAAATAAAGTATAGTTGTCACTATTTTATAATTTGTTATTTTTTTACATATGAAAAATTTCAAATATTTACGGTCTCTGGACAATGACAACAAATGATCGAGGTACGTGTACAGAAAAACGAAGTCGTGTGTGTGGTCGCCAAATCTTTTATACCAAAGAAATTTTAATGTTGCAAAGACATCACAGAGAGGGGGACAAATCAATTGAGTATCAATATGCTGATAAAGAAATAGTAAAAATCGGTTTTTGTCCGGAGTAAGCATAGATAGACATTACGGCGTCTTCTTTAACATACGTACATGTATTTACGATTTGACTCGGAGACCGTGTTGTTAGCAATGAAAGAAATTAGTGATTGTGAAATATCAAGGTTGATTAAGGATGGCGATATTTTTAACAGCGTTATTCTTGACTTGCATTATTCTTGACAGGGTCATAAGTGCATGCATGAAATAAAATTTAATATATTTATCTTTCTTGTTATTCCCTGCGGTCTTTGGTACGCGTTTAACTTTTGAGGCATGGAGGAGCACGTGACCTGTTTTCGGTACATGGAGGAGCATGTGATCTGTAAACCGTACATGATTGGTTAATTGACCTTTTCGAAAACCTAGCTAAATACCGTTTGCCGGTACGTTACGGATTTACCTCTAGGGAATTAGTCCGAATTACGCATAAGGTGTCACCCCGGTACGGAATTAGACCCAGTCCGTTGTAGTCTAGAAAGTAGTTCTTTTAAATTTTGAAATGGCCTATTTCAAGTCATCTTAATTGATACTGGTTATATTTTAAGTATATCTTTAGTAATTGTGTACATAAGTTTCATTTCTGAGTACTTTAAAGGTTGTTTTTGATGTATTTTTGCAGGATTTCATTTCTGGGTGGAAGGTTTCATGAGGCACTATGCACAAGAATACACACCAGTTACTATTTGGAATATTCTATAGTGATTACAGAAATTAAAAGCTGCAGAAAAACTCCAAGGGCTAATGTATTATTTTTTTGTGCTAAATTTACTTGGACTGCATTGGTGTTTAAAGAAATGGTCATGAAGTTTCAGTACCGGATTTGCTTTGTCCAGAATTTAGCCTTAAATGTGATGGATTTACTATAGGAGATATGGGTCGAAAATTCAGTAGGCCGTCTCCATAATTAAGGACAAAACTTATTACGTGACATTTCTAATTTTTTTTATAATTATTTAACCGTTTAAGGTGGAAAAACTTGAATGATGTGTTTGAAAATTATCAATGTTTCTTTAATATCTATCTCAAAATTTACAAACAATAAATTGTTTATACTGAAAATCTACAAAATTAAAATATTCGTAGTGGCATCTGCCACAATGAATAGAGATATTTTGTAAACTTGTGTGTTTACTTAATTGTTTTTGGCTCGGAATTATTCATAAAATGGTAGGCCTATTTAATCATTTTCTTAAAAAGAAATAATTGCTTTATATTCGACCATCTCCGGTCTTTGAACAACGGTCACCAGTTTCCAAAGACGTTTTTCTATATTGATCGATTATTGTCAACTATATTCCTTTTATCCCCCAAAGAATGTTAAAAATAGTTAAATGAAATATCTTTATATCATTAAATATGTTCCCCGCAGGAAACCATTTTATTTGTACCTTTCAATTGACTACTGATTTAAACGAATGATCTATACATATTTAAAGATTCGAATACGGATGTGGTATAATTAAAATGCAAATTCATATCGCTCCTATTGTTTTATACTGCCCGTATTGAATCAAGTGTACCAGTTGTTGCGGTATACAGATATGTCCCTTCCATGTTTACTTCACAATTAACTTAATTATGTATCAACTGCTTTTGTGAGTTTGGTCAAAGTATTTTAAATATATTTGAAAGACCCTGGTTCGATTATGAAGTTCGTTAAGTTTTCGCACACACACACTCCCACTGCCTATTTTCTTAAGGTAAAAGTTCTCACCCAACTTTTTGTGTTAGCGTTGATCTTACAGGGTAAACTACATGTATAACCTCATTTTTAATCTATATGATAACCTTGTAATCTTATTATCTTATTAAATTAATGAAAGTTATAACCCATATCTTTGTACAGCACTTTAACTCTTGTAAACATTATTAGTTTATATGTCGCGTTATCTTGTAACACATTAGCGATATATCCGAATTATTAGTCTCAGATATTCGTATGATAACGTTTTGAACTTTTATGAAAATCTGTGTTTTCACTTGTATCAGATTCATATAGCTGTAATACATGTATATCTCCGAGAACAAGTTGAGATGACACTGAACTTTATTACCTTATCTTTTCCTGTTACACTGTTTAAAGAAGGTGAAACGGGCATAATGTTTTCAAATATAATAAATATTATAAAGGTACATGTGCATATGTTATATTATGTAAAATGTCTGTTGTGATATTTGAGCATTGTCATGACAAAACCAACATAATAGTGTTTGCGACCAGCATGGATCCAGACCAGCCTGCGCATCCGCGCAGTCTGATCAGGATCCATGCTGTTCGCTATCAGTTTCTCTACTTGTAAGAGTTGTAAGCGAACAGCATGGATCCTGATCAGACTGCGCGGATGCGCAGGCTGGTCTGGATCCATGCTGGTCGCAACGCACTATATGTTGGGGTTTTGTCGTGACACGGCTCAATATTGTTGTTTTTTCTCAGCACACGTGTTTCTACTATCTCCCGCACTGGAAACGTTTGCGTCTTGTGTGAAACTAATACTTTTCACAGTGCATGTACTGTATATACGTCATGTAATATTCATACGCGTCGGTTATTCAAGTGCTATTTTAAAGAGATTGGTTATTTCATACAAAATTTCACAGGCTGATATCAGTATATCATTATTATATTATAATTTGTCCATAATTATTTCATGATCTTGCATATCAAAAAACGTATCATCTTTCATCAATACTTGCATGAAGACCGAGATAAAGTTGTGTTTTCTAACAAATATATCCATGTTAAAGTATTTTCTCTTTGAAAAGGAATTCGTACTTGAATAACAATTTTCACAAAAATTATCCAAATTTTTTTGCAAAAAAGTAAACGAATACTTGAATTACGCTTTCACAATAATAATCTAAATTTTGCAATAAAATGTAATTACATTTGCGCACGCGATTTTGTAATGGAGAATTCTACTTAAAGTTATTTTGTTTTCAATTCAAAATGCTTCGATCGGAGGGTAAAATTTCAGCAAATGAAATTAGGAAGGTAGCCTTAATGTATTGAATACGTCCACATGGTGTACGTTAAATTCATGTGAAATTTCCAAAATAACGTTAACTGGTCTAGTCTACAAATAAAACAATTCATGTCTATAAAAAGTAACAGCTTTTGACGGAATCCTGTTGGCGCAATCGCAATGAAGCCAAACGTTAATTTTATATGGTCTTCTAAACCACGAAGTTGGTCGTGCATACCATAATACCATTGTTAACATGTGTCAGTGGTATCATATTATCTTAAATTCGACTTAAAGTAGTTCGATTTAGCCAAGTAATGCATACTTTTTTACCTTAACAAAGTTCGGATTAAGCCGAGTGATCAATACAATTATATATTCTCACTTGATTGCAATCAGTAAGCAGGAGAAAAAGGCCGCTATCCAGTCTCTATGACCTTCCACAGATCCCTACCAACGCATTTGGGCCTTCCACCCATTGGCTGATTTACTACTGACGTGTGTCATTGCCATGGTTACTGTTTATTCCTTTTAAGAACTGCCTTAAAATAAAGAAAATGAAGTGTCAGATATTTGAAGCAGAATTCCGTGAATGTATATCAAATAGAGAAATGCGGATGATGCACCCCCTTCAATCGAAAAACGACATCAGAGCAGATTGTACTTAAAAACCCTTCCACTTACAATTTGATTGTCCAATTTGAACTATCTATAGTACAAGTTTTGTTATTGTCAATTGAACTATCTTTAGTCCAATTGGGTAGACTATCAATTCTTTTCTGATTTTCAAGACCTAGATGTACAGGTTTGACTATATTATTTTAAGAATTGCAAATACTTTATAATGTTTATACCTACATAAAATTATGGCCGTTTTTTACTCATATATTTACATGTCTTTATTATACATCTAGAAAAACCTTTCAATTGTCAAGTTCCGTAATAAATAATAAGAAGAAATATCCCCAAAAAATTGATATATTCCGTGGATACGTTTGTGAACCCGGTTTTCACGTTTAAAGTTGATTAACAACGACCTGTGGGGTTGGTATGTAATGCCTAAACATCAAGATTTGAATGCCAATCACTATCTTGGTCACTCTGCGATTTTTACTTAAATAATGCGTCAGTTTACAAATTTTTTATTGATTTATTTAGATAAAATAACATTTTTTTCAACCATAAATTATTCAGTAATATGTTTAAAAGTACCAA